TTCTATGTAGTCTATTAAGATTACAAGATGGCAAAGAGGTACAGCAAATTTGTGACTTTTCATGAGGCTTTCTTTCTGTTTTTTTGGGGATTTGAATTTTGAAAGAAACCCGTGAAAAAGGCCAAAAACATGGGAGAGACCCTTGAGGATGCCTTCTGTGAGGGAGCAATCACAGGTGCATAACAGAAGCCCTTGCAGAAAGAAGAAAAGTCCCCTCGTGGGATCAGAGTCGACGGCTGGGCAATGCGGAAGATGATTCCTGCCTGATCCTGAGAGAAGAGCTTGACTGAATGTGCACATGAAAAGCAGCAGTTTGACTTCTATCAAATTTGGAATAACATTTTTATTTGGCTGGAGAAACGGGACTTGGTTTTGATCTAAAGATGTTTTCATGTTTTTATAAAAGGATTATAGTATGATCATAGAATGTTAAGAGACATGTTGTAGGCGGCTGACCCAGTAAATCTGATGTGTGTGATGATTGATATGTGTAGTTTTAGTTTAAAATCTTAATTAAAAAAAGAAAAAGAAAAGCAGCAGTTTGTTGCTGTAATGTGAGGGGGGGATCAGTTTTTAAGATTAATGTAAATTGGCGGGGGGGAGCTGCCCCATTTGCTCTCTAAGGGATCTTTTGCCTGCGCTGGGAGGTTGTGCTTGACTCCACTTAAGATGTGTGATTATATTTGTAAATAAGGCAAGTGTTACAAGTACCATAAGCCACATGCAAAAGAAAGGAACCCTCTGGCAGCCCTGGAATGTCCCACTGCTGGGGTGCGGGGAGGGGGGGTAACCATATGGAAAATCCTGCTGGTTCTACTTCCTCCCGCCTTTCTTCCATCGCATCTCATAGAGGAAGAGGAGGAAGATTTTTCCTTTCTGTGTTTTGTTTAAGTTTGGACCTGCCAAGAATAGGGAGACCTCGAAAACATGCTATTTCATCGACCTTGACTGATTTACATTCCTCAGAAAACCAGTGGCGCTCTGTCATGGAACAGATGGCTGGCACAAGGGGTCCTCGAAAGGTGGAGAAGCACGGGTGAGCCCAAGTTCATAACATTCGAGACACTCTGCAGCAGCTGACATTCTCAAAATAATCAGAAAAAATAACTTTGTTCTCTATCCAATTCCACTCATAGGGATGGATGAAATCATCTGCATCACTTTCTTCCACATTTGACTTTTAATTAAAAAATTCAAATTATTACCATCCTGTTCATGATGAAATTTGCAAATGGAGCAAGTTTGTATCAAACAACCTTCTCAGTCACCTGCAGTGGTCCAATGCAATGCGTCAGGATATTCCTTGCGTGGAGGGGACCAGGTTGTACCTCCCTGCCCTGAAGCTATTAAAATTTAACAGCCTCTCAGAAAAAGAGTGCCACGAATTCAGCACCATTCTCAGCTGAATGAAGGAATGAGGCTGGCTTTGCCCAGCACGTTTCAGAATAACCTTTCCCCCATGCCCTTCCTCACTGGCTTCTTAATTTTCTTATAAGGGACCCCTGAGGAAGGAAGAAAATATTTTCTGAAACATGCTGGGCAAAATAAACACTTTTTCTTCAGATACCCAAGAATGTTTTCTTCTTTCATTTGTTGACCCATCAAGACCTTCCTTTCTTGTTTTCTGAAGTCTAATTCAGCATCACATACACCACAGTACTCAGATCCAGACTGAAGAGCTAAGCATTTAAATTCTCTTCCTTTCCAGGAGTGGCATAGTCATTAATTTTGTTTTTTTTTTTAACCTATTCATCAACAAACAAACAAGCTCAAGTTTTCCCCCATCTTGTTTATGAAAAAAAATACAAATTTTGGTTCATTTATCAAAAAACCAAACTGAATAAAATTTTCACCCATTCACACCTGCTTATAGTATTTTGAACACTGACTCTTTGAATAATTGGAAAATAGATTTCAGATTCTTCTACAAGATTATGTTACTCTCTACTTTTTGCTAGAGCTACGAGTGTTTCTCCCCACAGAGCAATGTAATATTCAGCTTGGGGAATGGAACTAGATGTGAGCAACATGACAGTTCTAAGACACCTTCTGGGAATTCAGCCACCTGTGCAAAAGCAAGTCTTAATGGAGCACCTCATCTCTTGACATGCAGTGTTGCCTGTGTGACCATGAAAATGAGAATAGGGGAAGTGACCTTAAGAAAGAGGAGATGGCTAGATTCCCCCCCCCCCCGCCCGCCCCACCTCACTGTCAAAGGTGCTTCCCTGGCACCAACCTTGTTCAGGCAGACATTTCATTTTAGGCTAATATAAGTCAAAGAATTCACTGATTGATTTCCATTATCATACAGGGATCTAGTTTGATGATGCCACTTTAAAAATGTGGGATCTTGAAGGACAGAGCACTTCTTCAAGTTCCATAGTACAAAACTAAGTACTTTATAAGTAGTTGTTAAAATAAACTGTGTTCTCATCTCCCCCTACCCCCAGTAGGTTGTTTAGGAGTGATTTTTGCAGTTAAACTTCTCACTGCATGGAAACAAAAAACCCAAGAATTATTAATTTTAGTGCCCTATTTTCATGCTTGCTAATGGCTTGTCAGCATGTCAGGCCAGGAGTGTAATTGAGCCTCCCTCCTGATGATCCTTTCCTAGAGCCATCACAACATCTTGTGGCAATTAATTGTGTAAGTTAATTATTTGTTGTGTGAATAAGTGTTTTCATCTTGCTTGCCCCAAGCCTTCGTTCCTGGATCTAACATCCTTCATTTTGTATTCAGGCAAAGCTCCCTTTCTAAAATTAATAGGCAGTCTTGCCAGGGTAAGTATGACAATACAATGCCTTGGACATGCTTCTTAGACATGGTTTGTCTGTTTTTCTCTCAAGTGTCCCAGAAAGAAGTTACCCTGCAGAAAGAGAGTGAGAGTAAGGACTGCCCTGTCTCCTTTCTGAAATTCAGCAGCATTTTCTGTAGATGCTCTTTAAATGCAGAGATTCGAAAACCTTCCCAAACTGCAGAAAGACATTAATGTTTACATCTCCTTGTCTGAATGCATCTCTTATAGCTTTAATAATCGCTACTATGCTGCTTTGCGTATTAGTCATGCTTTCTATACATTTTTTAAATTCATAAATTAATGTCAGGGGAGAATTCCGTAAAAGCGGCTTCTCCCATCAGCAGTTCTACCATGCCATTTCTCCTTATAGCAAGCCCTCAAGCTCTAGGCATAAACAAGTGGAGAGCTGCGTGGGGGAAGGGAGTGCACAAGTCATCCCTCCTCTCAAGCCGTGCCTCTTTCACTCTTACTCATGTGCACTTCCATTCACATTATCTTTTCACAGCACTCATCCCCAGATAGTCACTTTCCACACACAGTGTTCACAACAGTCCCACGGACAAGTATTCTTCCATGCATAACAGGGTGTGTTGCAACACTTCCGTGGGGCCACCTCCTCCCTCCTCTCTGGAACTCCTTCCCACAAACAGGTTTCTCTGTCCAGAGAAGGCACAGTAGCACGAATGTTCATAAACATCCTACAACACGTAAGCAGCTGAGCCAGTGAGTAAGGGAGTGGAGGGGACTCATTCAGTGACTGACGTTAACACACGTATAACCGATCACAACAGAGATGGCAGCTATTACAACCTTGCTTTACATTTCTTTTGTCAAATCTGTCTCGTACACGTGTGTGTGCAAATTCGGTTAAGCTGCTCTTATTCCTACAAGTGTTCATCATTCTGTATTTTAATTTGATACCAAATTAGTCACTCTTTACAACTGTAGTATGTGCCCTAAACAAATCTCCAAAGTTGGTTTTGACCTAGCAATTAGATATAGAGATGGGGGTCAGATGGGAAAAGGAAATAATAACAACACGCACCAGTTATCGTGGCCTTAGAGTCATGCTCTCAGATCCAGTGCTCTGCCTGTGATGCTGCCAGGTTGATGTTTCAGTGAGCATGAATGCCCTTCTCCTCGAGAGTGGCGTTCTTCTTCAGCAGGAGAATTGCACGCATGGGGGAAAGGGAAGCCACTGGGCAGCCGGTTTCTTCTCTGCCTCTCCCTCCGTCTCAAAAGTAGTGAACTATGTGTGTTTATCGCTGCCTCGCTCTTGCCACTTGTGCACCAGCGCCTGTGGGTACAGTCAATAAGGAGCTGTCAGTGTCCCCTTGCATCCACCCTGGCCTGATGACAACCTCTGGCTGTTAGCCAGGACTTTGCACAGAGGACACTGAATGCACTAGAGGAGTTGGCAAAGGTTCTTCTCCGGTCTGATTTGGAAACAGTCAGGCAATTGTGGATCCGGCTTTAAGAAGAAATAAGGACTGTTTTCACTCCTACTATTTTGTCTCCCTCTCCTTCCCCTTCTCCCTCCCCCTTCTCCCTTTTTCTTTCTTTCCCTCTTGATGATCCCTCCCTTTTTCAGTGGTGCAAAGGATTTTTTTCCTCCAGAAAGCACAGTGTCTCTGAGGAAGGGGGAGAGAAAGAGAAAGAGACTGGCTGCCTCCAGGATTCTCTTCAAGCCAAGATGGAAATGTAGTCCATGTTATTTTCAGCGCAGCTTTTTAAATACAATTAGAAACATAGAATATTCACTGCGAACGGGCAAGAAGGGAGAGAATTATACATCTTCTACCACCTGGAACTGCACAGGGAATTGTGAGATTGTCTTTTAACTTAGATGGTACTGCACATTCTTTTGTTATTTTCTTTCTTACCCCCATTGTTCCCCCTCTTTTTTTTTAACTTCCGACTCCCATCTTTACACATCCTACATTCTTTTCCTTGGCTAGAAGATTTGCTTGGATTGTGCAGTTTGCTTTGGAGAAAACTGCTCAGTGAGGAGGCGATGAACTAACTCTTCTCCACTGGAAGTGGCAGATGAAGAGAAGTGTTGCTTTTGTGCATTCTAACTTTTAACCAGGATTTTTTGTTGCCCTCCCAAGATTTTTCTCTACAGTGGAAGTCAGTCTCAGAGAGAGAGAGAGAGAGAGAGAGAGAGAGAGAGAGAGAGAGAGAAGCAGCTTCGGTGGTGAACTGGGGTGATCGACAGATGGAACGGGGTTATATTTTTGGATTCTGTTGCTTAGTTCTCTTGGATCCAGGACAGGTTTGGACTGGAGCTCCCAGTACCCAGAAACCTGAGTTGGCAATGCAGATGGAGATCAATGGAAGCACCACTTTGAGTCCCACCTTGGAGGACACAGCCATGGCCCCCACTGGGGCTCTACCTGGGGGAGATCGGTGCCTTGGTTACTATGATGTTATGGGCCAGTGGGATCCTCCATTTAACTGTAATTCGGGAATCTACAAATTTTGTTGTGGGACCTGTGGGTATCGCTTCTGCTGCCAGTTCACAAGTGGGAGATTGGACCAAAGTGGCTGCTCCAATTATGAGACACCAGAGTGGGTCAACACAGGCCAACCACCCCCTCGAGTGGATGAGACCCCCGAGAATCCCACCAGGGACAAGACCAACATGATTGTGTACATTATCTGTGGCGTGGTGGCCATCATGGTGCTGGTGGGCATCTTTACCAAGTTGGGGCTGGAGAAATCACAGAGTCCGCAGGCTGAGATGACCATGTCCAGGTAAAGCACCCAAAATGTGACTGTATCCCATATACCTTTCTTTATCCTCTTAACATGCTTTCTCAGCAGCAGGTACATGATACGTACAAACTTCCAGCATCTCATGATTCTATTTTTTCCTGCCAGGTGAACATCCAGATCAACAAAGTGAACTAGTCTCCCTCCCTCCCTCCCTCCCTCTCTTTCATTTCCACCTTCTACTTTCCCCCTCCCCCTCAACGCACAACTTGCCTTGTTACTACAAAATGTACATTTATTGTGGAGTGAGCAGTTTGGGGAATTAAGACCAGACCAGCCAAAACAAGTGTGCTCTGTGATTAGTATCTATGAGACTGAAAGTGACTGATGATTTCGCCACCATGCCTCCACATGGAGATATGCAGACTGGGTCTCTGTGCTCTGGAAAATGCATTACTTCCTTTCTCCAAGCACCCAGGCTTTAAAAGCAAGCCTTTGAAACTTGATGGGCATTTTTGTGCCTCTCCGTGCATGTGCTTTGACAGGGGTAATCATAAAGACTCGAGCTGAGCAAGTTCTGCACCTTCTGAGCAAAAGCCCCTCACACACCCCTTGCCAGCAGGTTGCAGAGGAATGACAAGGCAGGCCACAGGCAACACGTTCCACAGGCTGCATTTATCTGAATTGGCTCCAAAAGGCACCTCCTCAGCTTTGCCATCCCTCAAGGCAAGGCAGCTCTGGATGCTGAGAGGTGTGGGATGAAGGCACTCAAAAAGCCATGGAATGGGGATTGGCGATGAAGGATGATGGAATTGTGGGTTAAGAGCCTCCTCTGGGGACCAAAGCTCTTCCTTCTCTCACTTTGCATCTGCCGCCTCTGAAGCAAAGCAAGCTCTATGGGTGCAACTTGCCAAGTAATTGTAGGTTGTCTGATGTTTTCTGCCTGTGTCTGTTGTGCACACTTTTGAACCAGCTTGTGTTTTGCGTTGTATTGTTCCCCACCACCTCTCCCGTTGAGCTTTCTGTGTCATCCATTTCATTGCTGTTTCATTTTATCCGCCTGCATTATACGCACAGTTGTGAGTCGTCATCGTTTGCTCTCCCTGGCCCCCGCATCCCAGTCCAATGGCTTTCCCCTGCCCCCTCACCCATCAGGCTTTTCTGCCATGGGGCTTGCTCTCCACCAGCAGCATAATTAGAGGAAGGATTAAGTCTCCATCCAAAACAAAGTTGTGCCCCTCCCCAATGCCATGGGGCACTTGTAGGTCACGTGCAACAGCTCCCACAACACATACAGCAACTTGCTTCATGGTTTGATCACTGTTGCAGGAAACAACAACTGCTGCATGGAAGAGCTGGGAGGAGGAAGGGAAGGGAGGGACCGCCAAATCCTTGTGATCCTGGCACCTGGACTGCTCCTGCGCTGGATGGGGAGGGGGCCTCTTCACCTGATTTGTGGCAACTGCGAAAAGAAAATGAGGCACAGCTGCAAAGGTTGTTTGCTGTGTCAGAGAGGCTCTGTTGAAGCTTTGGCATTGAGGGAGGTGCTGAGGCGATCGTGTGTCACCCTGTGACAGGCTTCCTAAGAATGCCAAAACATCCAGTGCAGATGGCCCGAGAGCATCTCCCTCGGCTCCCTCCTCCGACCAGCTGCTCCGCCAACTCCCGCGGAGCAGCAAAAGCAACTGGAGGCTGCTGGGGAGCTCGAGCTAGAGAAGAACACCGGACCCAAGGATCTTGGGAAGGGCTCGCACTGCTGTGACCCAGAGGCTTGGTCTGTGCGCGGTGGTGCCCCCAACAGGGGCTCCTCCACGGGCTGCAGAACTACCCAGATGAGGCACAATGGGGAAACTGGCTTCAAGGGTCGGTCCTGCAGTTTAGCCAGCAGCTGTGCGGTGAACCATTTTCAGGCAAGGGGGTGACTTTGGATGCAACATCCTCACCCTGCTCTAGCTATTCCAAAGGTCAGATTCTAGCATGCTGCCATCAGGGATGCAGTGCAACAAAGCTTTGGGTATTATGTTAGATATGAGGACCCTGTTTCTATTCTACAAGCTTAGTCTGCCCCCATGCTTCACTTTACATCTGCCAGTGCTGCCAGAGCAGAACAATGGAGTGTTTTAATGGTCCATTTCCACAAGCATTGTTTTCAAGAGTGGCTAGCCAGATATTTCTGAGACATCTCCTAAGCAAGGTAGAAAAGCAATATCCTTCCCCTTTTGTACTCACAGGAATCAATTCTGATAAGCCTAATAACCATTGATAGCTGTTTCCAAGTTCACTTGATCAATGAAAGAAAAGATGTCAAAGCGGCTTTTTTTTTCTTTTTCTTTTCCTTTTTCCTTTTGCCCGGTGTCTGCTACTTGTAGGCTGCATCATTTTCAGAGTCATCCATTCTGGGCAGAAGCTGCCCTCTTTTCCAAACCTGACAGAGTGCGTGATGGAGGTGGCTTCCAAATCACCCCATGACCCATGGCTTGTTCTGTGGCTCCATAATGGTTTGGAAGCTACTCCCACTGCTCACCCTTGTCAAGTTCAGACCACATGGCAGCCAGCAGCCTGTACAGGGAATTATGGAAACAAGGCAATGCATGACCAGGATGCTCAGGGCAGGGAAAAGAGCCACTGTGCCTTCCTTAGCTTCCCCATTCATGAGACCCCAGGCAATATTTGTCCACTTGTTTTTAAAGCCCTCTAAGCTCATGGCCATCACCATGTCCAGGTATTGCAGTGAATCCATGACTCACGGGGAGACAGCACTGGCTCCTTTTTCTTTTCAGCAAGCACACAGCCCTTGCCCAAATTCACTGTTCCCTCTGAGTGTGGTTGCAAGTCCTTTTATTCACTGGGGGATAACAAATTGCTTCAGCATGGATATATTGTTCCTTGCTGTGATGCAGTGTATTTTGAGGTGGCTTGGTCTTGAATGGGCAATTCAAACCCATTAATTTAGCAGATTAATTAATTTACCCTAGAATTGTTTTGTTGATATGGATCAATGAAGCTGCCTGGAATTGCTGGAGTCTCATGAGCAGCAGGGACTGTAATCCTGCAAAATTTAAAACAATGGTCACAACTTGTAGTAAAGTATCATCATACAGGCATCACGGAAGACTCTCGGCATTCTGTGGCTAGGGTGTTAGAAAGTCCCCTGGCAAACCTGTCACTAAAAAGGAGACTATTAACCCAGATGTTCAAGAGCAGCATGGGTTGTGCACTGCAATTAGGCAGGTGTCCTCTTCTTCAGGCACCCACCTGAGGGTCATCTAATGGCATCCCCATCTCCAAGGTAGATCATGTTTTCCAGATCTTGGCTGCCTTCAGGCTTGTGAGATGAACTTTTCCCTTTTAGAATCCATCATCAATGTCAGGATCACACATGCAAATACATGCTAGGAATGGAGGAATAGGTTGCCTCCAAAATCATGAAACAAGTTCACAAATATTTTCACCAAAAAAAAAAATCCACTCCTGGTTTCCCCCTTGTGTTCCTTTTCAGCAACCTAAGGAAACTTTTTGTCATTGTTGGATGACTGGGATCCAAACACCTAGCAGTAAATCACCTGATCTAACTTTTGCCCATGCTGCCGTATACCAGAGGTAGCTAAATGACAGTTTTTCAACCATGTGCCAGTCCTGGAAAATTGAAAGTAGCAGTGAATAATATCAGATTAAAGGATGATGTCTGAGACTGAAGGGGCAATAAAATCTTTTCCCTTCCTTATTTCTCCTAAGCACATGCTGTGAGTGAAGAGGAGGCATCACAGGAGAGGAGTGATAACAAACCAGTGACAGAAGTGGATTTTATGGAACACCCGGGAAGGGGGCCTACAGTTATCATGAGTGAATGAAATCTGCATAGGTAGGGTAGCCACTGGAGAGACTGAAAGGGTTTAGTTTTCTCAGGTAAATTCATGGTTGTCCTAAGAAACTAGTAAACTCTGGTATTTTTATTTATTCATTTGGATGTGTGTCATCTAAGGCTACCATAAAAGTCCAGGGCACACTGTGTACAAATGCAGGTTGTTAAATGGAACACGTTACCACATTTGAGGATGTATATTTTGCGATATGTCACAGAACCAGCCACCTGAGATTTGCTCACCATCTTATAGAAAATGTCTTGCACATTCCACAAAAACTTATGTCCCTGGGCTGTACTTCAGCATTTCATAAGATGCTACTAATCTCTGGCTGTTGCTGCTGCGGAAACTTTTATACCAATTTGAGGACCTCAGTGCGTTCTTCTCTCTTGTGAGAATGCACTGCCTATAAAATACATTAGAGTGAGAGATATTGACTGGTCCATAGTCACCCAGTCGGCTGCATGTTTCCTTACCCACACATATACCCCAAGGAAAATGGTACTCTCAGGGGGATGCTTGAAGAAGGCATGTCCTTGAAGAATGGCCTAGTCTGGGTAGATACTAGGCCCTCCTCTCACAGTCAGTCATGTTTCAGATGAGGCCAGCCCTTAGCTTGGATTTGTCATATCAGGCCTCTCCAGAACACATGACACAGGCTTTTTATTGGGAACACACACAGAAATACACACAAAGCAGGAAGGTATCCCTCACCTACACTGGTGACACTGCTGAATTGGTCCTAACACTTAAGAGTTATTAATGCAAAGGAGAGCCATCCCAAATGAAATGAGTGAGGTTTGAAATGCGTTTATTTTATATTTTTCAAATTGAGTCCTTGGGAAGCAAAAGATTTTAGCCTTGGGGACCCTGACCTAATCAGCTTCCAGGGCACTGAACTGATTTAAGTGAACTAATTTAGAATCAACCATGGCTGACAAAAAACAAGAATACAGGCTCTCATTGCATCCTCAGTGTATTATGGCATAAGCATATGCATCATCTCATGACATGAAAAGCGTCATGCTTTAAGATGCTACCAGGCAAAGAACAGATTCAAATGTCACAAAAACTCATCAGGTGATTTGCCAGAATAGGTTGGTTGTTGCACAAAACACCCACAAGAGCCCAACAGATGATCAGACTCAGGGATTTGCTCCTTTTCTCCATCCTCCAGGT